AAGCGACGATTTTCAACCAATTTCGAAACTATAAAAACTCTCCTCATCTACAGAAAATTACCTTTACAACGGTGTCTTTAGTTTTGAAATCGTAAATTTACCTTGGTCTTCATCTTTGATTTTATCTTTCACATCTTTGCTTATATCCTTTTCTTTTTCTCTTCACGTAGATGAGATGAGGTGCGATGACGTGATAAGATGTGACGTGATTTTATGTAATGTGATAGGATGTCATGTCATGTGTTGTCATATCCTCTCATGTCATGTCATATGATTTCATACCATACGATGTCATATCATGTGATGCCACGTCATGTAATGCCATGTCATGTCATACGATGTCATAGTCATGTGATGTCATGCCAAATAATGTGATGTCATATCATATAATTCATGTCACCTGATATCGTGTGATGTGATATCATATCATGTGAAGCCTCTTCATATCATGTGATAAAATGTGATGTGATATCATGTAATGTGATGACATCCCATGTTCCGATTAGTATATCGATAACCCTGTGGATAACTGTGTCGATAAAAATACCGATAACAATATCCATAAACATATAGAAAAATACAACGATTGTGAAATCGATTAAATCATCGATAAATATAACAATCATCAGTATCGATTATTGTACATATCGTTAACAATATAAATGACTAAATCGATAACAAAATATATTATCTAATCGATTATTATACCGATAACAATATACATTACTGTATCGATAACAATATCGATTATTTAATCAATAACAGTATCGATAACAATATCGATTATTTTATCGATAGCAATATCGATTATTATATCGATAAAAATATCGAGTTTTATATCGATAACAATATCGATCTTCATCCTCATCCTTTTCTTCATATTTATCTTTATTTTTGCATATTCCTCTTCACCTTTACCTTAAAGTGTTTAAATTTACTTTGATCTTCGTTTTTGCCTGTACCTCTAGGCATCTTTGTTTTTGTTTTTATTCTCAAACCGCTAAACCGCTGAGAACCATTTCCATGTGCATTATTCCCCTTGAATTTGACAATTTACTCCCAAACAACCAATTGCCGCTAAAGAAGTTTCACTTCATAAATTCAAGAAATGTTCTTACCCTTTCAGTTACCCTAATTCTTATGTATCTGTCATTGTCTCCATTTTCGTCTTTATCTTCACTTTTGCCTTCTTTTTTTTTGACTTCATCGTTATCATTTATTTCTTCATATTTATCTTTACTTCAAAGCTTAATTTCAAATGTGTAGTGAAACAACAGGCGAAACATGTCAAATTGAACATGTTGCAGCAGCATATATACACAATTCGACAATGTTTAAACGACGGTTTTGGCCGTAATTTTCAACCAATTGTAAAACCATAAAAACTCTGCTCATCTACGGAAAAATGCCTTTCCAACGGTGTTCTTGGTTTTGAAGAATCGGTTCGGTAGAATCGCCAAACGAACGGAGACAAAATTTATGTTAGCGTATTAATATATAGATTGCACTGAATTTTTTAAATAATCATATTTTCTAAATTTCAAAGTCTTTTAAAAAAATCTGACATCAGAGAGAAAAACTAAAAACCCAGTTTATTATAACTTACCCATGGTTTCGCGAATACGTTATTTTTTTGTGTGTGTAAAATTTAGCCACGGTGTAAGAGAGAAAATTTTACGTTTCCTAAAAATTCGCCCAAATTCCTAATTAGACTTATTCTGACAGGCCTTAAAGAGCTTACAGGGCCCTGCGGTTAAAAAAGTTCTTGGAGTGAGTAGTACGATATGTAAGAACAATAACAAGGATAAGCGTGTGCACATATGCACACACATATGTAGGTAGTTACCCAGTTACATTTGACAAAATGTAGTACATGAACAAGTAAAATGGACGCATTTGTAAGTATACAACTTTGAAAGTGCCCAGCGTCGCGGCGGTNAGGACTTTGATAAGCACTTTTGTGATTAGGGATAATGATAATATGAGTACTCATATGATACTCAGCTGTCTTGTAGGGTAGTTACCCAGTTACATTTGACAAAATGTAGTACATGAACAAGTAAAATGGACGGATTTGTAAGTATACAACTTTGAAAGTGCCCAGCGTCGCGGCTCCGAGTTCGCGCGCCGGGCCGCGTTCGACGTCGCGCTCGCGTCTTCCGCCCCCTCCCCTCCTTTCGCAACTATGCACTGGTGGCTTTCTAACCGTTTAGAAAAAAGAATAATAAAAAATGACACTACTTTACTTTTGAAACTCCTTTTTTAATGCCCCAGTGTAGTGGTAGCAGTGCGTGCTATCACTCCGCATGGCCTGGGTTCAAGCCCTGGTCAAAGCAAAATCGCAAGAAAAATATAGAAAAACGGTTTTTTCTTAACAGCGGTCGCCCCTCGGCAGGCAATGACAAGCCTCCGAGTGTACTTCTGCCATGAAAAACAGCTTCTCATAAAAATACAATCGCCGTTCGCAGTCGGCGTAAAACTGTAGATTCCTCCCCCTTGGAGGTGAAGCTCGGCCAGATATTAACATATGTGAAAGCCCGAATCTATTGTTGCTAATTGGAAATATTAGTGAAGCAAGTGATAGTAATGCCAAAATTTCAACTGAAGATAAAACACAAAACAACATTCTTTACCCTTCTTTTGTTCGTTCTAAGCTCGAGTACGCTGTATTCATCTGGCGACCATATTATGAATGTAAAGCAGTGTTTGCATTATTCAACTTTGCGTTCAACAATTGCGTTCAACTCAACGCAGGGTTGCACGAAAAAAAAGTTGAATGGCTAAATGTTGGCTGGCGACCAACTTTGTTGAAAGCGATTAGTTGAAAGGCCATTCAACCAAAAGTTGAATGCAAAGTTGAACAATGCAAACACCTTTTTATGGCGAATATTTTGATATTTTTTCATATTTTGATATTTTTAGCCATTCAACTTTTTTTCGTGCAACCCTGCGCTGAGTTGAACGCAAATGTTGAACGCAAAGTTGAACAATGCAAACACACTTTAATATTAACATCGTTGAATGAATCCAAAAATGTTTCATTCGGTATTATCTACGCTCTCTACATTTTGTTGGCCCTTTTCTATCTTACACTGGTAGATGCTTGCTCATAAACCTTAAATCACTGCACAATAGGAATATTAATTTTTCTCTTACTTTCGTTTGGATATTATACGGGTTGCGATTGACTCGCCGTTCTTATTCGAACGGATTACATTTAATATCACNAAGCAGTGTTTGCATTATTCAACTTTGCGTTCAACAATTGCGTTCAACTCAACGCAGGGTTGCACGAAAAAAAAGTTGAATGGCTAAATGTTGGCTGGCGACCAACTTTGTTGAAAGCGATTAGTTGAAAGGCCATTCAACCAAAAGTTGAATGCAAAGTTGAACAATGCAAACACCTTTTTATGGCGAATATTTTGATATTTTTTCATATTTTGATATTTTTAGCCATTCAACTTTTTTTCGTGCAACCCTGCGCTGAGTTGAACGCAAATGTTGAACGCAAAGTTGAACAATGCAAACACACTTTAATATTAACATCGTTGAATGAATCCAAAAATGTTTCATTCGGTATTATCTACGCTCTCTACATTTTGTTGGCCCTTTTCTATCTTACACTGGTAGATGCTTGCTCATAAACCTTAAATCACTGCACAATAGGAGGATTCATTTTTCTCTTACTTTCGTTTGGATATTATACGGGTTGCGATTGACTCGCCGTTCTTATTCGAACGGATTACATTTAATATCACACCAAGAAGCCTTAGGAATCATGATATTGTTTCTCTGGACTTTGGCCGGAATAATTATGCGAATAACGCTCCTATTCGCAGAGCTTTAAAAGAGTTTAACTCGCTCTCAAACTCTTCTGCTATCTATTTTTCTTCTACCAAATTTAATTCCAAACTACTTTTTAATATTTTTCAAAATTAGTTATGAATTTATATTTTATTTTTTTGCGAAAAATCTGTATGAAATATTTTTTTACTGGATTAATAAATAAATAAATATTCTCCTTGTTAGATATATGCTGCGAACAGGAACGGTAACTTTTGTTTGATCCATGCAAACATTTTAAGGTTTGGCAGCAATGTTTTCTACATATTAAAGAGCATGCAGATAAAATTCATACAAACACGCTATGTTCAATTTGCCGAGCAGTTATTAAAGAGGCTTTCCCGATAATTTGTCAGACTTTTCATAAGTAAAAATATCTTGTGAGTATTACTTTCATCATATAAATTATACCACATTTTTCGTTTAATTTAATTTTTGGAAGCACAAACAAAAGTTCTTTTTTCTTCTATAAACTGTAACTGTTTTTGTCACAAATAGTATAAATAAGCAAAGGGAAATAAGGCAAAATTTGTTTTATTTCCATACTCAGATTTTGGTATTAAATAAATAAATTTTGCCTTATTGCCGTTTGTGTTATTTCACATACACTTTTACAGGGTTGACTGGGATATCAAAACCATTTTGCACATGGAAGAGCAACATTTTCATCAAAAGGGGTTTTGTAATGAAAAAAGAAATGTTTATTTTTAATATATTTTTTGGCCAACCGCCGCAATTGCGTGCTGCAGCTTTTTTGTGGCGACAAACCCTCAGTATTATATACCTACCATCAAATGTAACTTTTTCATTGACCTTCACGTTAGTATCAACAGTGATTGGAATGTTAAGAAAAAAACGCCTACCGAAAAATTTACTTTTTGTCGACTACGTCCTTTTGGCGGTTAGGGGACGATTTATTTATAAAAATTCTACACGCTATGAAGACGAAAATGTTTAAGCGTTTGGTTTGCAGCTGTAAAAAAATGCATTAAAGATGGAACGAAAAAGCGTGGAATTAAGACTTATCGAATATACACCGTCCTGACGAGTAACGCCGTTACTTCAATAAATAAATTGCTTTAGAAATTTAAATTCGGGAGTTAACAACATTAGTTATTATGCAAGTTGTGAGGAATGAAAAAACTGGGATAACCTACCTTAAACCCATCATACGTCCAACTGCCAAATTTGAGCACACATGTTTGTTCGTCGAAAGGAAAATATTCTACATCTATTTCACAGGATGATTTGTAAATAGCTGGAGGTTTCCATTCGACTAATCCCTCTGAGTAAATTGTTGCTTTTGTCGCTAGTGTCACTTCGAAGTTACCATCAGCACTATTATGTTCCGCATTCCCGTTTCGATACATTGTAAATTAAATGGAATTTATCTGTTGTGTCATTGAGACTTTTATTGCGAGCGAAAGCTTATACTATTACATATATACATAAGTAGTAAGTTATAAACATAATAAAGTCATTAAGAATTAGATTATTTACGCTGAATTCAGGTTAAAACAAAATTATGACAAATATATGTATTTATATAAAGGCTTTTTACCCTTCGTCGAGCGCAACAGACCTCTGATAACTTTGCTGACGCTCAGTAGCTACTAGAGATGGGCACGGGCCGAGCTTTTGGCAGGGGCCCAGCGGGCCCCTGCGTAAGCCCGCCGGTACGGGCCGGAAAATTTGCTGTCAGCACGAGCTCGTGCGTACATGGGCGTTCAGTAAGATTTCATAAAAGCACGAATAAGCCCGTTGCTAAGCTTTTGTTTTTATCAAAGAAAAAAAAATAGTACATATTAAAACTCTTTTGATAAGAAAAAAGCAAAAAAAAAGAAATATTTGGAAACCGTTAGAAAAAATAAGATACTTAGTAATTTTGTTTACATATCTGTACATAAAATACCTTTCACTTGCACTCCCAGAAAATATATAATAAAAATCTTTGATGTAAAAAATTGGCGCTGTAACCGCCAAAGCGATTTTGGCCGAGTTCAGCAAAGAACGCCAGTCGTTTCTCCTCTATACCAACTGACGCCAATTGGAAACGCCAAGTCCTTCTCCACCTAATCTTTCCATCGCAGTGGGGGCCTCCCTCTTCCTCTNAGAACGCCAGTCGTTTCTCCTCTATGCCAACTGACGCCAATTGGAAACGCCAAGTCCTTCTCCACCTAATCTTTCCATCGCAGTGGGGGCCTCCCTGTTCCTCTGCTACCACCAGCGGGTTCCGAGTTGAATACTTTCAGAGCTGGAGCGTCGGTGTCCATTCGAACGACATGACCAAGCCAGCGGAGCCGCTGTATTTTAATTCGCTGCACTATGTCCATATCGTTGTAAAGCTCATACAGCTCATCGTTCCATCGTCTGCGGTACTCGCCGTCGCCAACGCGTAAAGGACCGTAAATCTTCCGCAAAATCTTTCTCTCAAACACTCCAAGAGCCGCCTCATCGGATGTTGTCATTGTCCATGCTTCTGCGCCATATACCAGCACGGGCATGATGAGTGATTTATAGAGCGCGGTTTTCGTACGTCGAGAGAGAACTTTACTCCTGCATTGCCTACTCAGTCCAAAGTAGCACTTGTTGGCAAGAGTGATTCTACGTTGGATTTCAATGCTGACATTATTATCGGTGTTAATGCTGGTTCCCAAGTAAACGAAATTCTCTACTTTCTCGAAATTGTAACTGTCAACAGTGACGTGGGTGCCAAGGCGCGAATGTGCTGACTGTTTGTTTGATGACAGGAGATACTTCGTCTTGTCCTCGTTTACCACCAGACCCATGCGCTTTGCTTCCCTATCCAAAAAATTGATTCACTTAAGTAAATATACATACATTAACACAAAATTAAAAATATGTACATATGTATAGGTACATACAATTAAAGTTGGCTCTTTATTTCTTTCTTTATTGGCTGGGACGTGTCCCGGGCCGGGCCCCACTAAAATTCTTAGCGTGCGGGCCCTGAAAATTTAGGCCCGTGCCCATCTCTAGTAGCTACCTCTTTGAAGTGCTTTACACAGCAAAACCACTCAATTTTTGTTTGACCCTCACAATGAGAAGCTATGCAGAGTAAAGTAAGTATTTTTAAAATTACTTCTTTATTACGTTCAAATTAACCCCATTTAACTTGTTAAAAGAAAAAGAGGTTTTTGTAAAACACAATCGTCCACTGTGTACATTTGGTGTTAACTTTGACGGTTGTTTGATTTTAAATAAAAGTTCAAAATCAAGTTTTTTTGTGTTTCAATTTGGTTTGCACGAATATCTGCTTCATGATATTAACACATACAGATTACTTAGGAACTTCAAAATGTTTAGTTCGTATGAACTATTTATCTCTGCGTACGATGAGAGCTGATAGGAAATAACTAGTTGTAGTTGTGATAATGTAATTTGATAATATACATTTTTTGAACGTCACACAGTGATCGGAGAGTGGCAGAAAGTCCTTATATCGAAATATGTGAAAATATCCAACTAAGTAGTTGATTCGATTCTAACCATGTTTACTAATAGGTTTTAAGGAATTTTTCCTGAGCATAACTACTCTGGCAATTACACCGTGAGACAAAAACCAAAATTTTTTAAACACACGAAAAAATCAATATATTCACAAAATTAAGAGCCAAATATAGTATAACTGCGTTTTAAATTTTGCTCTTTGACGTCGGGATTTTTTTAAAGGACTATGAAATTTCTAGGACATGATTGAAAATAAAACAATATTTAAAAGATTTTGTGCATTGTAGAGTACCAATATGGGTAACATTTAAAGGAAAAATTCTGTAGAATTGAATAAAAATTTAATTTATTGGTGCATCAGAATGAATAAGTGTTGAAAATGGGCTTTTAAAACTTTATCCTTAAATATCCAATATATATTTCGAAAAAAAAGTATGACAAGGACTAATATGTTATCTACCACATCCTCGAATTTCGTTCTTCTAACTTTATCAGTTTTAGATTAAAAAATTAACCCTTCTCTTTATAAGATATTGATAGTTACAATATACATAAATTAAGATACTGGAATACACTGTACAGCACCCGGCTGGGTATTAGACCAAACCAATTTGTTTTTAAAAGATTAAGGCATAGGTAAAAATTTAATTTCTCCGTTCTTCGAAGTTAGCCTCCGAAATCGAGATGTGCGCCTTTAAATTTCGAAATAGGAGCTTTGGTAAAAAATTATTTACATGTAAGTAACTAAAAAACGTACCCCGCCTTTTGCTTTTATTTATATGGTATATAACTTTTTTTGTGCAAACTTATATTACAGGTGCTATAAGGGGTCAAAGGTCGCATCTTCGAAATTTAAATAGTTGAGAAAAAGATAAAAAAAAATAAATCTACCTGCGTTACAGCACGGTGGGAGATGAGGAAGGGGGGCCGGGGGGCCGAGCCGCGCGCGATGTAGCGCGCCGACGCGGGCCGCCGCGAAGCTAAGCAAATTTAATTTTTGAAAGAGAAATAATGTCAATAATGTCTTTTTAAAAAGGTAATCATGTAAATTGACTTTATTTCGCACCCTGGTGCGAAATAGTCAATTGATCTTATTTCCGTTGATCTTATTACCTGTCACCGGCAATCACCACTTTGCATTTAGTTATAATCAATTTTCTATTTTTAAATGTATAGAAATTTGTATTTATTGTTATCAATATCAATTCATTAGCTTAGTACAAAAGGTTGTTCATCACTAATTAACGAAAGGAGTGTAAAGCAAAAGAACGAAAGCAAATAAATCTTAATTGCTGTTCGTCACTCAACGGAATAGTTTTACTTTAACGCGATCTCAGACATCTAGACCAAAATGGTGCCAGAAAAAGGGCAAATCGCGTTATTTGATATTAATAAAAAATATCGAAAAATGAATCGAAACCTGCTACGTACAGATAGCATAACCATATCTGGCAGCAATGGTGTTCCAGGAGGCGCAGCAGCTCCGCCGGGTTACAGTAGCAGCAGGAGCACCGGTGAAACGCAGAACCAGAACAAGGGTCAAACGTTCATTATATTGGATTCAGCAATTGCAGCGACGCATCAGCCGGCGCAGGCAGAGGGCAGTGAAGCTCCCCTGGTAGCGATGCACCAGCATAATACGATAGCACCGTATGGGCACCAACAAAAAGACATAGCCGTACCGTTTGCTGAACATCAGCAGACACAATATTTTCGCAACAACGAAATTCGGCAGCTTATACTGAAGTGCATTCCCAAATTCCAATGCCTCTCTTAACACTAAATATAATGGACGCTTAGTTCACATCTGTGGGCTATTGGTTTAAGGCCTGCAATATGAGCAGCGATACCCAGAGATATTACCACGTTATGGCAACACTGGATCCGCTTACTCTGCCTACTATCGGGCAGATTAGCAATAATGATGAAAATCCACAGCGCGTAACTAGCACTGGCGTAGACATGTACGATTTTTTTAAAAGTGAGCTACTCAATTATTTTGGAGAGAGCCGTCAGCCTAAAATACAGCTATAACTAGAAGAATCGATGGCTGAGTGGAAGATCGACCTATCTCGGCAGCCAGTTCGAAAACGCTCTATCTCAAAAAACTTTTCAAGAACGCCCTATTTCAGAACTCGTTTCAATAACGCCTTATCTCAGCTGTCGATTCAAAAGCGGCCTATATCAGCATATTTTCAATACATTTTGAAGTGAGATAGGGCGTTTTTGAACCAAATTTTGAGATACGGTGTTTTTGAATTAAATTCTGAAGTAGGGCGTTCTTGAAAAGTTTTTTGAGATAGAGCGGTCCTATTAAGAAAAAAACATTAAGTGCTCTATGTGGATGTAGTCCGATCGGTGTCCTAATTGTGTAATGTAGACGCTCACCCAAATTTTGTGGTTTCATCCAACATACCCGAAGAAGGTTCACAAACAGCAATCACACAGCTAGCGAACACAATGCGCCAGTTATAGCAAAAAATCGGCAACCTGAGCACACGGCAGCGCAGCCGTTCGCGAACAAACGACAGACGCGCGCGTTCACGTAGTCGTCAAAACACTCAAAAGTCAAAGCTTACTGGTGGTAATGAGTGTTGGTACCACCAAACCTTTGGCGATACTGTAACTCGTTGCCGTAGCCCATGCAGCCACCGCTAACGCGACGTAGGCAACAGTGTTTCCAAAAAGCACGATTGACTAGAAACGTCTCCCAGCGGTGCAGTTGCTCAATCAATCAACTTGTTACCACAGATCGTTCGTCTCGCTTTAAGTACTTGATCGATACTGGGGCCGTCTTTAACGTAATTCCATAGAAAAGTAATTGTTCGGTCCTTCGTCCCACCTCAGTTATATTGTATGCCGCCAAC